GGTGTTGTCAAGCACCCCCCCCCCCCCCCCCGAGTGTGTAGACTGCGTGTGTTGATTCTGTACTCACAGTCGGCCTGTGCGCAGATGAGGCAGGAGGCGGTGCTGTTAAAGAAGGTGAGAAGGCTCGCTATAGCCAGACTGACATCCATGTTGGTTGGCCTCATGTCTAGAGTGGTGAAGCGAGGGAACTGGACCTTTAGAATGTCTTCTGGAGCCACCTTCACATACGGCACCTGCATAGAGACAAGGATGTCAGAAGTACAATTTACGCCGAATTTTTACCATAGACCGTTCGGTCGAGGAGGCCTGAGGACGACATGGAACCTGAATTTTAGCAGGAGCTTATAGGTTTGAAAAATCAAAGGCAAGTTATTTTGAATTTCCATTATCCATGGCGTACTGCGTAGAGTTGATCACATAATCCGAGGACATGATTTGTAAGTCCTCACAGTTTACCATCACATTTCTGACACAACCTAACAATTATCTGAGAAGTAGTCGCCGCAACCTTTATTTCCACCGGCTTCAAATCAGCTGACCATTCCACTTCTGACAGCATTTTTCACAGAAGCCCGAGGAGCACTACCCTCAATCTGAATTTGAAACCAGTCAAACCACTTCTGGCATTTCTGTGACCGATGTCTGAGGCGGAGTATGCTCGACCCGGATTTGAACCATGTCAAATCATGGCTAACCATCCCACTTCTGACACCACTTGTCAGGGAGGTCAGAGGAGTCCCATGCTCATTTCTGACACGATCCGATCGCTGTCTGAGGAGTAGGACCATCAACCTTTATTTCAACTGGCTTCAAATAAAGGCTGACTATCTCACTTCTGACACCGATACGATGAGAAGCCCCGAGGAGGAGCCAACCGTCAAACGTCTGACACCATTGGGAGGAGTAATGCCCTCAACTCTTGGGTAGATTTGAATCGAAAACAGTTGAATAGAATTGCATAGCATCAGCTAAGCTCACCATTGCATTTTAAAGAAAAGTCTGAGGTTAGTACCTCTGCAACCCAAATTTCACTTCAGGCTGAAACCGACATCTCACTTCTGACACTCGACAAAACACACTCCCCCACAAACATACAAAATTGCCAACGTGTACGACGGAAAACGTCAAAAAGCCGTACGCCGTCAGACAGAAACATTGTGCGTGCGCCTGTGAGTGTATGTTTTTCTTTTGCGAGCCAAAGAAAACCCAAGGCTCTACGGAGCTGCAGACGCATACTCAGAACACACAATTTTAGTGAGTGACTAAGATACTAAAATCTCTGTTTGGATCACAGCATTTGTTCTCATACCACCCACAAGAACAAGCTCTTGTCAGACAGCATTTATTTGAACGCCTCCTCAGCCACTGTTTTAAAACATTTTCGAACAAGAAACCTACGAATCAGCTCGGCAGTTTAATTTCGGGTGCTATGACAATGACATAAATAGCAGCACATATAATAGCTGGCGCTGATAACATTTTATAGGTATAACGAGAAAAATTGCGGGGAAATCAATGGTCTGCTTGCATTTGAAACTTTTACAGAACTTGTTTATCACAGAAAATTGGAAAGGCCTTTCTGCTGAGAGATTATTACATTCATATAATTTTGTGGTTGCTAATTGTGTCCAAAACCCTGGCTGGAATTCCGGTCTAGTATTATTCAGAGAAAAGGACATCAATTCATTACTGGGAGAAGTGTACAGTGTTTCCGGTGTCATCAAAAATTAGACGCAGAGGGTAAGAAAAGAAAAGTCAGCCAAGCCTTGTGTGAGAATCAATAAATACATTTCTCCCGTCCATTTCAGTAGGCAGGGGCAGGCAATCTTTAGATTGATTACCCTTCTTCTTCCCAGTGTTGCTTCGATGTAGCATTACAAATATCTGTATTCCCGCGTGGCCTGCAAGAAAATCCAAGCAACCCTATTTGTATGAAAAGGTATTTCAGACACAGCGTGATGCCTCTCAGGGTCGCACGATCCGAAATTCTCGGTGCAAAAGTGCTTCTAAACCAGGACGTCAGACTGTTAAACTGCAAAGCCAATAAAGAGTGGACCAGGGAAACTCCTCTACGAGACATACTGGACCAGCAATGTATCTTTATCACAACAACACATTGTGCAACAAATCGTCCATCCTGCATCACATTGTATCGCAAGTTTGCATGCATTTCCCCTGAATGAAATTAGCGCCTGTTTCAATATGATCATGTGACCGGATAGTCACGACCAAGGTTGACTCTCAGGCCTGAGTGGGGAAATGGGGTGAGAACAAGTAGCAGGTGTTGGGTCAGTCAGCGGGCCAGGCATTTAGGTGGAGCTCGGTGGGGCTTGAAGGGTAAACTGGAGGACATGCTGGGTCTGAGAGGAGCAACAGGGAAAGGGAGCCTCTTTATCACGGAAGATTGCCTGTCTGCGCTCTTCTCATTGGCCATACATTGCCTTCCTTCTCGTCACCTTACTCCCTTGATTGGTTTTCAATCCTTGCCCATTGTTGTGTAATGGAGTCCCTTGGTGTCTGGATGGATGGAGGTGCAGCCAGGAGTGACAGGCCCCGATGGAACACTCAAACCTGGGCGAGAAAGAGCCCTACACCTGGATAATAGTTGTACAGCACGCAGGGGAACTGAGCCCATTTTTGGGACGAAGTTCTGATTGTTCCAATTGGATTTGTCCAATTTCGTACTTTCTTTTTCTTAGTTCTGTCACTTTTTCTCGTAACTCGTTTCAACCCGACCTGTTCCATTCTATATTCCACCGTTTACCTGTCTAATTTCTCTGAACTTGGTCCTGGTGTTACCTTTGTTAATGGAAAAAGATACTTCCTATCGGGGATGGGCAGAGAAATAATTAATTGGTCGTTAAGAATTTGGTCAATTGTGTGGAATTGATTGTTGATTAATTGTGTCTTGAAGCAATCATGGGAAAATAGATAGCACTGCCTGGCTGCACCGAGCCGAGGTGCTGTTGAATCAGTCGCAACTGGTGTGCCAACTAAATAAGAAACAGAGGATGTTTTTTTCGGTTCATTGCTCAATTTTTGTTCTCTGGCCTGTGTTAATGAAATGGTGCGTTGAATTTACTCCATTTTATTTCGTCGAATGGTTTCGCAATATGAAATCAGCTGCATCCAGACACAGTTTCTCGGTAGACTTCCAATCAAAATCTATATCCAGATGTGCAGCCACATGACAAAATTAAACAGCATTTTTTTTCAGGGTAAAAAAAAAAAGGAACCAATGGAAAAAGAATCAATCAGGTTTTAATCAACCCAAATCAGATGGCAAGTACCGTGACGTCACATATCAGAACCTGAGCAATCCGTATTGAAGAGACCAGAATGGAAGCAGGAGTTCAGCACACTCAAGGACATTCACTTCCGATTAAGATAATATTGAAAACATGTATATTAATGGATTAAATGAGCGCAAAGTTCTCCAATGAAGATCAAGGAAATATTGTCTTATAATAGTGCATTATATAATCTCCCAAAAAGTAAATACAAAAGCATTACAAGTGATCAAATTCTGGAAACCACACAGTCCACTTTAATTTGTACATCTATAGAAACTTTAGGGAGTACTATATCTCAACATATCGACCCCTCGTGTCGGCAATCAAAGCAATACTATGAATTGATCACCGAAGAGTAACCATGCAATGTTTTGACTCAGAGGTGCTCCGAAGACAGAAAATCGATGTACCGCATGAAGAACAGCAAGCTGTCAAGCCATTTGAGTCACCTGCCGCACTTCTTATCTGCAACCAACAGCTCGTATAATTCACCCGTATTGGTCGATTAATCTGAACACTAAAAGCAAGAAAATCTTTCCCGGGCATACCCAGCAGGGCGATGCTTTTAAGGCAACGCAAGAAGCTTCCCGTGAGGTTTGCAAAGAAGCATGCAACTGAAATAAATGAAAGAATAAATAAATGAGCTATTTTCCTCAAAATGGGTATTCCTTTATGCGACTTCTGTAGATGTATCAAATTTGATAATCCTGAATGAATGGGCTAAATCAGCCTATTAATACATGGTAAAAGTCATTAGTATTTTTTTATTTTTGCCAGTATGTTTGATACTATCAACTTCTTGCCCAAGTGTGATTGCCGATAATTTGCCACTAGAAAATATCTGTTAACCCTCCTACCCTGCACCAGACGTCAATCGATGTGATACCCACTGGTCAAAATGTCACAAAAAACAAAAACAAAAACAAAAATTAAAAGGTAGAGCATATATGTACATCCATCCATCCATTTTCCGATCTGCTTTATCCTCACAAGGGTCACGGGGGGTGCTGGAGCCCATCCGAGTGATCTTCGGGCAGTAGGCGGGGGACACCCTGAACCGGTTGCCAGCCAACCGCAGGGCACACAGACGCAAACAACCATCCATGCTCACACTCACAACGAGGGGCAATTTTGAGTGTCCAATCAGCCTGCCGTGCATGTTTTTGGAAGATGGGAGGAAACTGGAGTACCCGGAGAAAACCCACGCAGGCACGGGGAGGACATACCGGAGCTGGAATCGAACCCGGTACCTCTGCGCTGTGAGGTCGACGTGCTAACCACTCGATCAGCGGGCCGCCTGAGCATATATTTAATGCTTTAAATTAGATGAAATTGCAGGTTGAAGTAAAATAACAATATAAGTCAAGTGTATTACCGTTCCTCGTCATTCACGTTGCAAGAGGGTTTAAAGAATGCTTTGCTGTTTGTCACGTCTGACCATTAGACTTGTTTACTTCTGCTTTCACTGCCAAGCCAATGTTCATATATTACTGAACGTTTACAGTTCATAAATGTTTCAGAATGGTGGCAGTTTGGACTCTGAAACACATGATTCAGAATATAGTTGATCTCAATGCGGGGAAAAAGTCCACACAAAATCGAGGTAGCACTGTATCTTCTTATTACGTGGGAATAGAAATTGAAGTCCGTTGTTTGTTCCACTGATTTCAAGCCTCCGTTTCCACTTATTTCTTTTTCCGTATAGAATATGCGACTACGCATTGCATTATATTTTCATCTCATGAATGTAAAAGAATGTCATACTTTCCCTCGCCCTGTTTTTAAGGTGTTTTAATTTGCTGTTTGAAAATAGTGATCGCATACTTTCAATGAGGCACTAAACAAATATCCGAAAGTCTACGTTTGCTGTTCAAAATGAAATTGAAGTGAATGATCTTATTATTTAAGCATCTGTTCAAGAGTCACCATTACCATGGGAG